ACTTATATGTTGCATTGTTCCTGTTATTATGAAGGAAAATCAAACAAATGACAACAGACAATTTTGAATGTGATTTACGGCCACTCGTTAAACACCATAAAAAACAGCCTAAACGCGTTATAAAAATACAAACTTTATAGCCATCTGGTGGCATTTCAGTTTTATTTCGATTTTAGTATGTTGGGGCGACTGGGATTTTACGGAATCGCATCACGGCGAACGACGAACGAACCGTATGATATTTAATGGAAGAACAGTTTTTTTTTATTACAGGGAGAGCGAAATAAAGTTTAATACTTGTGGTGTGTTATCGGTTGGCCATATAAATAATTTTGAATTTCAATGTAAATTATTAGACTCTGGGAATTGATTTAATTATCATGGAAACCGGAGAGTAAAAAGTAATGCTACAGAGATGGGATATTTCAAAAATATATTTTTTAATATTAATAAAATATTGAATTTTGTTTGACTAATTTTGAATAAATCCCTTTAAACTAAATAAATCTCCAAACAATTTCCTTTTTTTTATACCGGGTGCGTCTCAAAAGTGGCTCACCCTTATTACGTTTTTATTTTTTCAGACAAAAAAAAACGAGATTTGGCATAAATTAGGATTAATTGACGTATTCAATTGTTTTCGGTCACTTCCTGTTTCACCGGAAATGACTACAACTTTTGATTTTTAAATGGCACCCTCGGTACTTTGTTTCTTTATTCGTTGGAAATTCGACACTCTGAATAGAATGTCAACTTTTGACATTTTCGAATATAGTTTATTTGAAACCAACATGCGATTCATAACGACAATTTGACTCGAAATACCAAGTGTGTGGTACCAAATTATTCGTAAAAAAGTGGGGTTTTCAAATATGCTAATGAGCCACCCTCGTTCCATTTGAAAAAATTGAGATATGATTAAAAATACGAATTGGGCATCTTTTAACCGGCCAGGACAAGACACTAAAAACATTAGACGATCAAATCTATTTTTTCAAGGCTCCTTGATTAAATATTAGTGTTTTTAACACAGCCATTGCATACTTGATTGAAATTTAAAATACAATTTTGTTTTAAGCGAAAATTTGTCGTGTCATTTTATATCGAATAAACTCCAACCGTGGAAGGGTGTATACCCGATATATTTATAAAGTAACCATATTGTCTCTAAACTACATTCTGTGAAGCCGAGCCGGTAATATGGGTATATAAATCCTCTGAAGGAATTTGTATATGTCACTCAGTTAGGCCTGCTCAAGCGTAGTGCGCAAGCCTGGATTTTGAATTATCGATCGGATAACTAGACCAATAAGAGACTAGATGCTAGCACCACACTGATAAAAAAGATAGACTTGAACTAAAGTCGTCATCGTTCTTGAAAAAAAAATGTAGTGGCAAGAGAATTTATTTTAGCGTAAAAGAAAATATTTTGCCTGAAGAAAAACTCTCTTAACTCAAGAAAACTGGTTCTCTTGAAAAATTCGAAAATTTCTCTTGAATCTATTTTCATTCCACCAAGTGCAAGTTACTTTGTTTTAAGATAATAAGAAAAATACGCTAGGAAGTACTTCATTCAAGAAACATGGCCATTTTTCCAATAGCTAAATACTCTTTTGATGAAAAATAATAACGACATGCAAAGACGATGACGAAGGACGGTATAGATATACAATCAGTCGGCATGGTATGGCAGTCCGATCAGACGTACGTTGCATTTCATAGATCGCACATCATAGTACGCACTGGTTTTGTTGCTTGGAATTTTGCATAATTTGCTTTTTAAACGCATATCGTATAACAAATTAGTGATCGTTATTAACATGCATTTGTCATTTTTTATGGACAAATTTTAGGATATATGGATTGTTTAAAGGAGTTTCTGAAAAAATGGAAATTAGAGCATTTATTTGCTATATTTGAAGGTAAGAGACATTTACCTAATGCACCTGTTTAGATAATGCATGTGTGACTATAGATAGAATAAGAATATAGGTATCGATTTTTTTATGCAAAAAATTTTAGAATTTCAAGTCGTCGTATTAAAAAATTCAAAATGTGACCAAAGTTTATAATTTTAATAATTTATTTGCTTTACTTTGATTAATCGTGATGTAACATTTTTTTGTAATTTGTAGAATGATGAACCACCCCAAAAAATACCAAGGAGTGAAGAAGCAGAAATAACTACTATCGAGGAAAATAATATCACCGTTACTTACTACAGACCAGGAAAACCTAAATTTATCAGAAACTAATATACCTCGTAATATGCCTGTATATGCCTCAAGAGATCAAAATAAAGTTTAGTTGGGTCAATAATATTCGCTATTGGTTTAAGAAAAGTGTCTGTTTCTCTTTAATCAAGAAATGTCCCTTTTCAATCAAGAATTTTTGCATGAATCAAAGAAACTATTGTTCTTGTTTTGCCTGCTTGGTCTGGACCCGCCATTAGGTCCTTTAACATAAAGCACTTGCTTTCCTAATAATTGGCAATATCCTTCTGTAAATGTGATATTTTTCCAAAGTCCTGGAAACTCCGGAGTTCCAGATAAACCCACAGCGACAGAATTTGTCTGTCCCGGCCGAGTTATGAGAATTTATCGGTTTTGACGGGGCACTAAATCGTCCGTAGATAATTTTCGGGGCAACCGGAGAGAGTCGGTTTTTATCGGGACCTTTTAAAGGCCGCAGTTGGTCGGATAGTTTAGAAAAGTGGTTGAAGATAAGACTGGTTCCTTATTGGAAATAGACGTAAATGAGTTATTACTTTATTATTGGGACACTAATTTCGATGTTTTTTTTTACTTTGATAATTTTGAGTAATGTGCAGAAACGGTACGGAGACGGTTTCGTATTGATATGACTTGATCTAAAGCATAGATAAACGAAACAGGTTTAGATTAGAGTGTCCATATCTAAGGACAAAAAAATAACGGCGCCCAGTCGGCTTGGAAATGACGATCTTCATTTCATAGCCATCGCTGACGCCGTTGTTTTTCTCTCGATCATACGGTACTATTTGGCGTTGTTCTTGCAGCGGACGCGATCCAAACCAAAGCTTTTGATATCTGAGCGGTTCGGCATTTTTATTCAAATATATTATTGCTTTCTATTATTTTTATAAATAAAATACAATGTGTTACACATAATTTTTTTTTATTTTATAGAAATACCTTGTAGAAAATCCCTAAAATACAGTACGTCCCCGGATTGTCTTTACAAAAGGAAAAACCTTTTTATTATTGACATTTAAACGAAAAACATTTAAAAAAAACTTTATTAAAATTTTTGCTTGTTCTAAAATGGTTAATCCCGTTTATACTTTTCCAAATTTCCATACCGTTTAAGAGAAAATTTAAAAAAAAAACATGAAAATATGGTTGAATTTTTTCTAAAAGTTCTAAAAATCAAAAGGCGTCTATGGTAATATATCGTTTTGATTCCATTCTTTGATAGATGGTTCTTATTAATTTTTATTAACGTCATATTTTTGCTGTTGTTACTGTCAACTATTATCACCCTGTCCGTAACATTGAACTAAATAAATTTTGTACTTCTTTAGCATTTTAAAACAGCCAAAAATATAACGCTAATTAAAATTCTATCAAAAACAATCTAACAACGAATGAAATAGGAATGATATTATCATAGAAAGGCCTTTTGATTTTTACGGCTTAGGAAAACATTCAACTATATTTTCATGTTTTTTTAAATTTTCTCTAAAACGGTATGGAATTTCGGTTATAAACGAGATTAACCGTTTTAGAACAAGCATTTTTTTTTATGAAGAATGCATTTTTCTCAAAATGTCAATAATAAAAAAGTTTTTCCTTTTGTAAAGACAATCCGGGGACATACTGTAGATAAAACACCTCCATTGAAATGATTAGGTATATTAAAAAAGCTGTAAGAAGAATTTTAAAAAAATATGTGTGAAGCATGAAGCATAAATTCATGACAATAATACCTATAATAATTATTATAATGTGGGATCTAGGGTTTCCAAACAGGGATATTTAAATCCCGGGATCCCGGTGTGTGTTTATCCCCGAAATCCCGATATTAAATCCCAGGATCCTAAAAATCTCGAAAAATTTAAATGCCCAACCCAATCTAATCTAAGATGGTTCGACTTTATAGTCTTTCAATGATCTTAATTTACTTGTATTTGTACTAATCGTTTGCTATATTTTTTTGCAACAAGAATAGAATTTTTTTACTTACTAAATATGAATGTTATTTTGTTTACATTAATAAAGCTTTTTTCTCATTTTCTGATGAAGCCTAAATAAATTTTCTGAAGCTCATTCAGATTTTTTTTATGTAAAAACTACATAATACGTCAAACCTTTCTTGAAAAATACATATGTCGGTGTTTTTTGCTACCCTTCCTGAGTCCGTCATTTGTTATAGATTTGCTATAGATGTATAATCAAATTATTTGTCTTAATATCTCTTTATAACTTCATAAACCATTGGAATACTTTATAGTCTAGTGTCAATATAATCATTTTAATACGTCCTGAAAGAAGTTAACAATAAAATAGATTGTATCTATTTTGTTTACCATAAACAGTTGCAAATTTATATTTTACAACTTGCCCTCCCCATATACCACACAAACATAAACGTCCTACTACAATCCGAATAACTATCCAATTCCAAGCAACGCTGCGCTGCTGTCATAAAATTAAATAGACTTTTACGATGTCTCCTCAGCTAAATTATACCTGCCCAATAAATCAAACCTACGTCCTCTGCGTCTAGTATCTACCTCCGAGCACAGAACGAATGATTTAAACCGAAGAAATTGTCGTTTCTCAAGTGACAAAAGTCAAAATAGTGCCCTTTTTCAACCTCCCGTCCGTGTATACCTGCCTTAACGCGAAGACCGCATCTCACTTCGGTCGGTTACGCCGGTCTTCGCGCGGTTCCGGCCCGTCGAAAACCGAACGCGCCATGAAAAGCGTTTGGCGGCGTTCCGCGCATTTCAGTCCGGCTTGAGTCGTTATAAGGGATGGTAGTGTCAGTTTTTCCGTCGATATCGGTTGGATTCGCGTTTTGTAACTTTGGATATAATAATTCACTCTTGTTCAGTGCAAAGAGGTAGATTTGTGCGCGTAAATATTTATTGAATGAATTTATCGGGTGAGGAGCGAATGAATTATAAGCCGGAGTGTTGCCTGTGCCAAAATTACTTGCAGGATTAAACGTTGTGTGCCCCGTCGTGTATTTTTAAACATCACAAGGTAAGAATAGTTTATGAATATAAACAGAAGTGAGTTTATGACGCGTTAGAGGATAATGTATTGTTGGTATCGAGGAATGTTCGCCTTCTGTCTGATCTTTCCGAATTTGTTATTTCTCGCCGTGCTGGCTTTGAAACAAATCCTGAAAAATGGCGATTGTGGAAAGATTTTCAGCTTGTTCAAGAAGAATATCGTAACTTTAAACTGGATGTTTTAATTCAATATTTCTGGAATACCTGTATGTGAATTAAAGTTACAGTTAGTGGTTGTTTAGAGCTTTACATGCTTTACTATCTTTTAATACCAGTGTTGGTTTTTGGAACTAAGCTGATATTAATTTACTTCATGTTTAAACTAACTTTAACTCTTTCTTTTCAATATATTTACGGCAAATATGTGAAAGTACCTATCGCGACCTAGTCAGAGATTGTATTTGACCTAGTGCTTCAATAAATTTTCAGTTAATGTTGGAAACGATGCTCTTTTTTTAATTGAAATATTAACAATAAGAATACCTGGAAAGAATCAAGCAATCTATTGAAATAGTGTGACTCTCTCTGACTGGAATATCAAGGTACCCAAACTATTTTTATTTTAATAAAAATAGTCGGCTCATGAAAGGCCGGGTGTAGGATTCGAACCCACTACCTTGAGATTGTTAGACGAGAGCCTGTACAGAGGTACGTAGAGCGCCACCGAGCACCTTTTTTAAGCAATAATAATAATAAAATAATATTCTCCAAAATATGTCTCCGTTTTCCTAAAAACAGATTCTTCTTGCGTAACTTTACATTTTCATAAACTCTTCAAATTTATCACGATAATATCAACTCTACTTATACAATATCTGAACCGATTTCACAAGTAGCAGTCGGTCGTTGTTTTTTTTCTGGTTTACATCAACCTCGAAAGGGATTAAGAATCGAACGACTGAATCTCGACTTGATTGATGAGCTATGACATTCCGTAAGTCGGTACGAATTCCACAAACAATATTGATAATGATGTCGAACGGCGAACGAGTATCAGGAAAAGCAGTCTGCGATATGAGTGAATAGGATTTTGTCACGTTTTATACAGTGTATGTCGAAAAGTTAGCATTCTAAAGCCCCGTTTACACATAAACGTTTTACATGCCAGATAAAACCGACGGGAAAACGGAAGACCATTTATGGATATGTCATTTTATGCAGAGTGTCGTTTTCAAAAAATCAAAGGTTGTAGTCATTTCCGGCGAAACAGGAAGTGAACAGAAACAATTGAATACGTCAATCAATCCTAATTTATGTCATATACCACATACCAAGGCTGTATTCCGTTGCAAAACCAGGCGAACCAGACCGGTAAACTCCGATAAAGAGCGGTTTCTGAAAAACATCAGTTTGGTAAAATTCTGGAAACGTCAAATGTTGACGTTTTCTAAATTACAACACCTCTATTATAAAATTTATCTTTTATGCATTTTTAATGTACCGCTGCTTTTACGTTCGCTTCTTCTTTTCAATGGAGTTTAGTATTGAAAAGTACTTTATTAATAAACTGTTAAACTCGTTAGACAGCCCAAGTGAAGACTTGCAGGTCAAATATTAAAATAGATCAATAATAAATAAACAAATCTAATCAATATTTATATTTTTATAGCTTACAAAACATTCACGATTACTTGTTGTCTTGTTTTTCATGTTTTCTTTAGATGTTCCTGACTTTAAGAAACAATGGCTGCATGACAAGTTTAAGTGGTCTTAAAAAGTAATTCTATTTAAGTAGTTAATGAAATTTATTTACCTTTACTGCCTACCTCCATTGCTTTTGGATGTAAATACAAAATATTATTACAAATTTTAGAAATTAAAAATGAGAATTTCACTCGAACTTCCAATATTTGCTTGATTTGTGTCACATAAATGACAATGATTGACAAACAAAACCAGAAAAACCAGCCTTCTCGCGCTGGTTAGTTTGGTGACATTTATAACCGAGTTTTTCAGGAACCGTGTTCCGTAATAAGAAAACTTTCGGGAAACCGATAGAAACGAAACATAAAACCATAACCAAGGTAAGCAACGGAATGCACCCCAAATCTCGTTTTTTTATCTGAAAAAATAAAAAAGTTATATTTAGACGCACCCGGTATTGTAACTTATTGTTAACACCGGGTATATTATAACACTGTTTTATTCTTTGTGAATTTTCAATAGATAAAGTTCTGGTTTTATCGGAATTAGATTTTTTTTGATTGACATTTTTTTAAACGGTTTATTTATTTACCTAATTAACAAAAATAAAATAATATAATCGGGCGATAAGAAAATTAATTTTAATTGTGTTGCAAGTTTTTATAAATTGAGAAATTTGTTCTTAAAGAAATATGTAAATATAGAGGAATTCTTACTTATAGTCATAGATAGAGGTAAGCTTGTTTTTTTATAATTACTAACTGACCCAACTAACTTTGTGAAGTGGGAGTTTTTTTTGCCAACTTTATGGTGTGGTACGAATGAATGATTGAGGCCAATCGATTTGGCCAACCAAATTCCAATTATGGTGTAGCCAATTATGTTGTCTATCGTTGGCTATGCGAACCCAAGTTACCCCTGCTAATTTGCTAATATCATGGCCCCATCTCAAGTTTGGTCTTCCTTCTAGGTGTCTTGATTTCTCGTAATGCTGTAATTTTTGTGGTCCATGTGTTGTCTGTCCTTCTTGCCAGGTGTCCTGCCCATCGCCACTTGAGGGATTTGATTCTGTGGATGACATCTATTATCTGGGTCTTTTGTCGTATCCACTCGTATTTTTTACAGTCTCTCTTGGTTATTCCCAGAATATTTCGTTCCATTGAGCGTTGTGCGACCTGCAGTTTCCTTATGATGTCCGTCTTAAGTGTCCAGGTTTCGCATGCATTTAGGTCATCACTGAAGATACTTCTTCTTAAAGTGCCTATCCTCTTTGGATGGTGGCTATCACATTGATCCATATTACTTTGTTCACTGTCGTTCTGAACAAAGCTGTTGACGTCAATCCCGTCCATGTTCGTAGATTTCTCAGCCACGATATTCGTCTGCGTCCCGCTGATCGTTCCGCATGGTGTGTCCGAAGTATTCCAGTTTTTTACATTTGACATTCACCAGAAAATCCAACTCCTTGTTGATGCGGTGTAGTACAGTCTCATTTGACACGCGATGCACCCACGAAATCCTAAGCATGCGCCGATAGCACCACATCTCAAATGCCTCCACACATTTGCATGATGGGTCGGTAAGGGTCCACGCCTCTGCTCCATACAGAAGGGTTGAGAGCACGTAGCATCTCAGGATTCTGATTCTAGTGCGGACGTTGAGGGACAGGTTGCATAGTATATTTCGAATTTTGTTAAATGTCCCTCTCGCGATTTCGATTCGGTGTTTTATTTCGCGAGAGTGGTCCCAGTCTTTAGTCAGGGTGCAGCCCAGGTATGCAACTGTCTCGGCCGCTGGGAGAACGATGTTGTTAGCAGTGAACTGAAAGTTGTTGATGTAGTTCTTGCTAATGATCAACGTTTGAGTCTTCTTGCAGTTCATCTTCATTCCGTATCTGCTGCATGTATTCGCCACACGATCTATAAGTCTTTGGAGACCTTCAGCGGTATCGGCCAACAGAACGGTATCATCTGCATATCTCAAATTGTGTACTATTTCTCCGTTTATTTAGCAGCCCATCCTCTGTGCCATCTAGTGCCTCTCTAAATAATGTTCCGAGTACACATTGAATAGCAGAGGCGACAATATACAGTCCTGTCGCACTCCCCTCCTTACACTAAACTCTTCTGAAGTTTCGTTCTCGATTCCACGACCTTTTGTTGACGATGAAGTTTTGCTATTATCTCTGTATCTCTATCGTCGATTCCTGATTCCTGTAAAATCGAGATAAATTTGTCATGCTGGACTGTATCAAAGGTCTTTCGAAGTCTATGAAGCACGCAAGTCTTTGCGTTCAATGTAGATGTATATCTACATTAACGTCGCGTGCTCGTTGGATTAGGACTTGTATTGAAAACAGAGCCTCTCTGGTGCCCAATCGCTTTCTGAAGCCGAACTGAGTTTCACCTACGTTTTCATCGAGCTTCCTAAGGAGGATTTTTAGGACGTGGCTCATCAGACTAATTATCCTGTGATCAGAGCATTTGGTCGCGTTTGCCTTCTTGGGAAGTGGTATAAATGTTGATAGCAGGCCAGTCGTTTGGGATTGGACCACCTGTATAAATTTTGTTGAATAGGGTGGTCAGTAGTTGAACTTGTTCCGAGTCCAGCAGTTTAAGAACTTCTCCGTGTATCTGATCCGGTCCGGAAGTCTTGTTGTTTTTCAGACGTTTGATAGCTGCTATCGCTTCTTCCTGTGTAATGGTGGGCCCTATATTGCCAGTTCCTGCAGTTATGTCGTCGCTATTTTCGTTTCTGAAGAGCTCCTCCATGTACTGCCATACATCTTGAGAGTTTTTTATCTGTTTCTGTAATGATGCCGTTGTCCGTGTCTAGGATTAAGAAGGTACACATTGGTCGAATGTTTCTTTAGATAAAGTGGCATTCTAAATTTGAATATGATTGAGTTTCTTCCATAAGTACTACGCATGCTAACTTAATTCTTCTGTTAATTTCTGGTAGTAGAGATCCTGAGCTGTGTATTAGTTGTCCCAAATATACGAGTATGCATTCTTCTACTATTTCCAGTGTTTTGTTATTTATTAGAATGTCTTTTCTGTCCATTAGTTTTTTGTACATTACTTTAGTTTTTGCCAAGTTCATTTTGAGACTCACTTTATTTTTATTGCTGGCTGTATCTAGTTAGCTAAAACAATGTCAAACAACGAAGTAAGTAATTTGATTTTAAAATTTCCCAAATCGGGGTAAACTAGAACACAACTTGTAATAATAACTAGCAGGTCGTCTGACTAAATTGTTCTAAATTCTACTACTCCCAACATTATTTTTCCTGTTCTACAGAGAACACTAACACAGATTAGTTTG